TCTTAATCTAATCTCGTCTATCTAAATGTTAATGTTGCGTTAATGCTACAATCTTTCCTCCTTTTTTTAAGTTGTTTTTATAAGAAAGAATTTTCAAATTTCATTGAAAATTAATCATTGCAATTAACTTTTACAATAACAAGATCAATTTGACTTTTTAAAACTTTTTTTTTTCCTTCGTATCGGGTATAATTTTTCACGTAACGATATTTTTATCGATCTATGTAATTAGAAATCTATAGTGAACTGTAAGTTTTACTTTTTACAAAGAGACTCTAATAGAAAAGAAATAATTAAAATATGGGAACGCGATATGTTACAATATAATTTTTAAAGATTTTATCATTGGATTAATATTATATTAATCGTTTTCTTTTCAAAAAACATTTTTTAGTCAATTTTATCAAGAAGAGGCATTAAAGAGATACGTATTCAAATATCTGAATGATTTTATTACGTTACATTAGTACTATTAATTAATAACTAATAATATTAAACGTAAATGTAAATTGTTTTATTTACGTTACATTTACACAAATTTCACGCGTTATCTCGATCATAACGAATCGATCGATCGAAAGCAAATATTTATGAAAATTGGTAGGATCGATACATTGGGTAATCGCGAGCGAGCAAGGCCAGATATTAACGAATTACAAGTGCGAGCACATTATTGTCTATAGGATCAATAAGAACGAGGTCGCGAGAGTGAGAACAATTCGAGATCACTCGAGGGTAATAGATCAGAGCGGATAATGGTATTGTCGGTCTGAGAGTGTTCACCAGGCTCGGAGTACCGATCGACTCGACGCCGCATGAATGGAGAAAGGTGAACACTCGTATTCGTCAAGGGTAGCCTTGCGAACAGCTGATTCCTTCTCGCCGCGATGACAAATCAATGGAACGTAGACCAGATGTTCACCGAGAGAATGACTCTGCGCGCGAATCCTTTCGTCGAAGTATAATATCGTGACACGTGAATTTCAAGGGCAAACACGACCAATACGTCGAAATGATCAAATTGTCGTTCGCTATATACTTCTGGTTACGTTTTCGTGACGTGTCGAATCTATTTTACGCTAACCGTTTGAAGTCTTCGACAACGACACGTGTTCCGCATCTGGATATATAAACTCGATCGTAACTTTCGTGGTAACTTTCTTAAAATAGAGACGATTTTTCAAGATCGTCGTCGAGATGGAAGTAAATTACGTTCGATGGATTAGTTACGATGGTGAAGTAACATAAAATAAATTATGATGGATAAACGATCGATGGTTTGATAGTTAGCATGAATTAATCATTTTTTAGTATTTGGATTATTGATTACTATAGGATATTAAGATGGACTAATTTATCCCTGGAATACTATAACCAAATATTATATTTTTATATTCGTTTTTCGTCTCAAATATTTTTAAAATATAATCATTAAACATTTACAACAGTAACACTGTTAAGTTGTAACAATTGTTTGGAAAATCAAAAATATTATTCAATACCATATTTGAATTTATTTCAAATAATTTTTACGTTATTGACTTGTTGTAGAACAGAGTTGAGTAATTGTTTTTAACTATTTAAATTCTAATTTAACTTATTTTCATAATTGGAGAATACAATTTTTCGACAAAGATTAACAAAAGATATAAGTATAGATATATAGTATCGCAGGGCGTTCTTCTGTCGGAAAATATCGATAATATAGATTGATTTAATATTTCTCATACTCCTCACTAGAGGGCTATACCACTAATGATAATAGCAGCGTAATAATAATAACAATAATAAATGAAGAGATATTAATTAAAATATATCAAAAATCCAAGTACTAAAAATTAGATAAAAAATATATGTATCTTTTTTTCTAATTTCTCTTTGTAAAAATTCATTTAATTTCTTACTTTATGAAGCATATGAGTATGAATAGCATCTACGGTAGTAATCAGAATATTACCTTTTTTTAATGTTACACCACCAGCCGGATGACCTGAAAATGAAACAATAAACCAAACTGCGGCATTTCAACACAAAAAAGTAATCTAATTATATTATTCTATATAACTATACATTGTGTTTCGTGTGTACAACGAAAGGCGTGCTTCGCTAATTTCAAATCAATAAATTCATGTTTGGAAAGCGTGACTATTTTATAAATCAAGTTTTGGAAATTATTAATTGCTAATACAGCCCGAGCAAAGCGTCACGTGTTAACGATTCAAATGTATGGGAGAATCGCGATGCTCGAAAAGAGTGAAACGCGATATTTTCCGATATTATTCGCGAACGTATGTTCTGCTTTACTAACCGAGAACCACAGTTATCATGAAAGTGGGGGCGCCACTTAACGCAAGAAAGTGGCGCCCCTTTCGGTGTTTAGTCATTTAATCAAACATCGTTGTAGGCGCAAAATGGCGTCAATAGAAAAGCAATCAATCGCTCTTTCTTAGTACGCATGATTTTTTTCCTTTCTCTCCAAATGAGTACGACAATAAACTCAAAGACATTGACCAAACGTAAACTTGACCAATCTTCCCAATAAAATATTTTACAGATTACAGATTACAATTACAGATAATAGCACATAACAGAGAAGACAAAAAAATTGAATTTATAACTTTCCACCACCAAAAGTTTTTTATCTGAACTTTAATATTTGGCGAGTTACTATAAACGAGATAAAAATCTACTGCTGAAAATAGAAATAAACGAAACAATAGCCTTCGAAAGACTGGTTCAAATAATTTTCGTTAAATCGAAACAGCACGGTATAACTGTGAGAGCACCGTATACGTACGTACGTATATATACACATATAAGACAGGTGTGTTGCGCTCTCGGGAAATTGATCGCAGAAATTTAATAGCAGCTATTTAGAACATAATGTGATTGAGATCTAGAGCCACGATTTCTTTAATCCTCTATTTCAATCTCACATTAAATTCCAGTGACCTTGCACAAATCTTAAAGGGTATAGCCTACTCTTAAAACAATCTAGCTAACTACTTTTAAAATACTTTTATCACGAAACTATATTCTATTTCCATTAATCCAAAAATCCTTTTTTTTAAATATAATAAATATATATATAAATTGTACAAAATTTATTATATCATTTAATATATCATATATATTTAATATATCATTTTATCATTAATTGTTTTTTACTAGTAAAATATCTCGAAATCATTTATTTCCTATTAATATAGAAAACATTTCATTAAATACATATTATCTTTTTTATAATGTTAATGCCTTAATACTTATCAAATTAGCAGATAGATTCATCGATAATTCGTTAACCGGCAAATTCGAATCTCGCAATATTTAATGTGTCATAAGATTCGATACAAAAGAATCGATAGTAGAAAGGATCTTGCGAAAAGAAGGATCGATGAAAAGTCCTCTAGTGGCGAGTACAGGAGCTGCTGCCACACCCAATTTGTTCCACATCTAGAAGATGTATAATACACTTCCTGTGTTTCAAATTTTAATTATGCTTATTTTCATTTGCACATAACAATTCTATTTTTAATATATATATATATCATCGCAAATAACACCCAAGATAGTTCTTCCATTTCTACATCAAACAACTAACCATCAATATTTGCATACCTATTAATTATACGTTTACCGTATTACCGTCACATCTTGTCAAATCATACCATATAAAACTATAATTGACGATATCGTTAACGATTTATTCACGATCACTTTTATCACGAGTAAAAACAGATATACGTATATATGTTCCCTATGCTATTACAATAATGATCACTTGTCCATTGAAAGCATACAATCAGATCTCATCCACGTGCGTATACGTGCGCGTTCACCAAAGAAAGAGATAAAGCGGATGCACGATAGCACCCTATAGTTAATATCACCAGGCGATAGTAACGAAAAGCAAACAGTTTTGTGTGTATTGAACAAATAGCAGATTTTCATTCGAAAACATAGAAACATCAAAGTATCCTTCGTTACATGCATCGCCTGTTGTCACAAATAAAAAAAAAAAAAACTTCGCTTAAATAAATTGGAATTTGAACTTTCAAACAATCATCTATCGTCGATGATTCAAGTCTTAGCTGGCAGCAAGCAAGATTATTCCATTCTTAGATAAATTACCATATTATTGCTCGTGGCAAAGAGCAATTAAAAAAACATTTTGGCGTTCAATTTCAATTTATCGAGAAGAAGAAAACCGGGCTACGAAACCTTTCAATTAAATAGAACGATCGTGAAAGAGAAGGGAAACGGATGATCTTAGTTTAGACGATTGAACGAACAAGCAATGCCACGTCCTTTTCATTAAATTATCGATTCGAGATGATATAACGGATTGGAAAGCTTTCTTCCGTCAAAAAAATAAGCAGCCTACGCGGCCCGTGTACCACACAAGCAAAGTGTCACGCTTACAAACGATCGAGCTCCCCTTTATCCAACCATTCCCATTCTTGGCCAAGCTTTGCAACACGGATGTAGCATCCACTTTGCTGGAACGTCTGTCGGTTTCCGGGGTCGGAGGCGGAGACGGTTTCCACTCGCGACGGGGAATTCTCCGCCGCTACATGCGCGTGGAAAACTGTGAGGTAAAGTGTGTCACGGGGAGAAGAGGAGGAAATAGGAGAGACGGAGAGTCAATGAGCTCGTTTCTCGTCGTCCCTCGTAACGCAACCCGCCGAGGCTGACCTTGCAGCCGGAAAAACAAGTCGGTTTTGGCCTGATACCAGAATTTTGCGTTATTAATAATACATCCAAAAATGCGCGGTTGATCCGCGTTCATTATCCTTCGTTGTTGCATTCTCAAATTCCGGGATTATCTCATGGAGGAGGAAAAGTTAGATAGAGAGTGATTTCCACGAAAACGTTGATTTCCAACTCTCTGATTTTTGACCAATAATTTCCATACTTCTCTTTAATTTTATCGATCGTCGAAAAGGAAATTTCCATTTTTGTCCACTTTAACAAACACAAATTTTCCACTATTTGACTGCAATCACGATTCCAGTTAGAAGTATTGTTTGCATCGATCGCGAATTTTTTTTCTTTCTTCCACGAAACCAACCGGAGTGTTATCGCGATGCCTTTCACAATTTATCTATCGATTAATTAATTTACTAAATGCGATCTTGGTTGTATAACATTACAAAGTAATATGTATTTTTCCAACGTTATTCATTTAACGTTACGTGAAAAGCTTTTCTTTTTGAAGAAGGAGAAAGTAATTTGGAATTGTATACAAGAGCGTTAGAAAAAATTAATTTAATAAATTTTCTATATTTATGTATAATCTACCAAATAATATCGATAATGATAATGTTCTTCGTATTTACTCTTTCCCAAAACCAATTATATTCTTTCATTTTATATGAAATACATTTTACATTTTCAAAAAAAAAAAAAAAAAAAAAAAAAAAAAAAAAAGG